GCCCCGAGGGGCGGGGTCTGCCCCGCGCGCCGCCGCTCCTCCCCCGGTTCCGGCCACTCCTGCCGCCGGGTCGGCGTTGCCAGAGCCCATCCCGCCCTCCTGCAGCGTCTCCCCGCGCGGCGCGCCGCTGGGACCCCGTGCAAAACCATCCCGGGACGTGGGGAGGGCGCGGTTACCAGGAGCGGACACGCGCAAGGACGGACGGGGACAAACGCCTCCATCCGCGGGGCACGCGCGGAGCCGCTGCGGTGAGGGGACACCGCCGGCGGGCACCGGCTGCGAGGAGGCGCGGGAAGCCCCGGAAGGAAGCTGGGGGACCTCGTCGGGACCCTGACCTGAACCCCGGCCCAGGGAGCCCCCAGGCGGGAAGATGGCAGGGCCGGACTTGTGCGGGGCCGGTTTAGGCTCCTGCAGAAAGGTGGGTTGGGTACCGTCGTTGACCTACAGCGGGAGAGAGGGGCCTTGGGGCGACCGGTGGGGCGCTGGGTGAGGTCTCACCTAGGGGTACAGTGGGCGGGGCCCCCAGGGCTCCGTTGGTGGTCCCCCCGGAGGGTTGATTCTGGGGTACACTGACGCTCACGCTGAAGAGGGAACGCATCAGCCACTCGGCAGAGACGGAGCAGTCTACTTCCCTAAGGGTTTGCGGCCTTGGAAACCCAGGCGGTCGCTGTGAGTGGGATCCCCCGGAGGCAGAGGGTTGGAAGGAACCAGCCAAGCCCTGGGGCCGCAGGCATCGGCCCTGAGCAGGGGCCTAGGTCTCCGCAGCTGCAGCGCCCAGCAGGGTCAGCGGTGCCGACGGAACCCTAGTGGTCTGCTCCAGGGACTGGAAAGCCGGGCCAGGAATCGGCTGCCCCCTGCCGTCCGCTCGGGGCACTCGCGGCCCGCACGCCCACCACGGGGCAGGGTCAGCAGAGGAGCGCGGGCCAGGCCCCGGCAATGGCAGGGCCACTGGAGAAGCCGGAGCCTGGCCCTGGGTCAGGTGACGGCCGTTCAGCTGTGCGGCCGCGGGCACGCTCCGTCCCTCTGCTACCGCAGGGCTCGCCCTCCACCCGCCCCCTTCAGCTGCTGCCAAGGCACCTTATAGTGGAGCTCCTTTCACCGGTCATCTCAAGGTCCAGCCCGCCTTCCTGCCTGTCCTCCTTATGCTGAAGCCCTGGGGCTACAGGAGGCAAAGTGGGCCCGAGGGAGCCCTCACCATCCGCCTCCCAGCACTACGCCTCACACAGCCCAGCAGGTCCCTGTCCCCAACAAGACAAAGTGTAAGGACCCTGAAGTCGGTTCTTACCTACTGTTGTAGGCTTTCTCTCCTGATGATCTCCATGTCTGCCCCACCCCAGTCATTCCTACAGGTCCCCCTCTGAGAAGATGGTCACGTGGGGCAGCTGCTCTCGGAGCTGATGCCCGTCACAGGACCATACAACCTTCAGCCATGTGAGATCCTGGTTGATGTGTCCTTGAATGTACAGGGGGTAGGACACTGCCATCTGACAGACATGAGGTCACATAGCGCAAGAGGGAGAATACGGTGACTTTACTGCAAAATGGGGGGGAGCGGGGGTTAGACAATCCAGATAGAGGCCAACAAGGCCTGGAGAGCACCATAGAACTTTCACGATTCACGTTAAGATGGCGTCCTCCAGCCAAGAGCACCGACTGTACCAGGGATGGCCAGAAGGAACAAACCTGTCCTGGAACTACAGCCAGAATGCTCCTTAGAGGCACGGGTGGTGCGACTTTGCTTCTAGTACTCTGACCGTGTTGCCAGGAGGAGCAGAACCTGGAGAAGGATGTCATGCTTGGGAGAGAGTCCGTGGAAGAGAGGGAGACTGAGATGGACCAACGACACAGTTGCTGCAACGATGGTTCAAACAGCCAAGGCCGTGAGGGCAGCGCTGTGATACAAGGTCACCGTGGAGTGAAGCCCACTCGGTGGCACGTTACAACCCAAAGAAATGCACCTTACTGCTGGGCTTTCTAACACGAAGGACTGCGTGGATGACACAGGCTGAGCTAGACCTGATGGCGGCCGTCCCCGCCCTCACGTGCGGCAGGACTGATGCCAGCCCACAAGAGCAGATCCTGTGGCGCCCGAGTTCAGTGCTGGAGTCTTGGATTATGGCAGTACCTGTCCCGTTTCTGTGCCTCATCTAGGTTGCATCTGAGCTGTCCTCTGAGTAACACTCTAATAGGCTGCCTTATTCCAAGAAATTTGAGATGGGTCCCAGAAATTCACAGGAGAGAAACAAAAATCAACAACGGAAGTACAACAGGACCCAGCCATGAAGTCAGGGTGCTCACAACACGAGAGGAGGAGAGGCTGCCCCACTCAGGACCGGGCTTCTGCTCTGCTACACCCTGGTGAGGGCAGCTCCGTAGCCCCATTTTACAGACCAGGAAACTGAGGCACAGGGAAGCTACGCAACGTGTGCAGGTGGCGCGGCGACCAAAAGGGGAACAAGAATGGGACTCCCGAAAGCCTGGCTTCAAGGCTTGCATCGTCAAGAGGCACCCCAAGTTGGCTCTCTGCTTCCCGGCAGTCAAAGCATGCAATGCCCACAGTGCAGTAAGGCCTGCGAGGCCCAGAACCTGAACGAGGCAATCCTGTTGAAGCAGGGAAAACTCAGACACCTCCCAGTAAGAGGAGCAACAGAAAAGTGGTAAGACTGCACCTTGTCAAAGGTGGAGACCTTAGGAGACCCGGAAAAACAAGGTAGTCCCGGCAAGTGCCAGCTCTCCCAGGATGCACTGTAGAAATAAGTCTCTCATCTGTCAGGCGACTATGCTCAATCCTAACTATCATGTCATTAAGGCATGATTAAGTTCCGTGTGAATATTAGTAACCAGGGGGTTCATCAAACACAACTCACATGTTACTGTGCCGCCCCCCCCCGCCAGCCGAGTCAAAATTTAGGCAAAGCTACAGACGTGGCAGGGAGTCTTCATTGGCCCTGACAGCTTCCTAGAGGAGCAGTGACAGCCGTCCGAGTCCTCTCCGCTGCTGACCATCACCAGTCTGGTGCCTTCGCAGTAACAAACATGTATCCCTTCCACTTGGGCAGTGCCAGGACCCACACTGGTCTCCCTGAGGGGTTACAGGGCGGCGGCCTTCTGGGAGCGCCAGGGGGAGCGAGTTCTCTTGCTTTCCCAGCTTTCAAGGGCTCAGTCCACGGCCCTCTCGCCCCACTTTCTGTCAGTGACACTGGGTAAGCTCTTCTCAGATGCCATCCCTTGGTTTCTCTTCCACCTTCAAGGGCTCATGGGATTAGGTGGGGCCCCTCCAGAAAGCCAGGGTAGCCTTCGCACCTCTAGGCAGCCTTCCTTGCTTCTGGAACCTAAATTCCCTTGGCCGTGGAAGGCAGGCAGGGGCTCTGGGGACGAGAGCATGGACATCTTTGGAGGGCCCTTACTATGTCTCGAACCAGAGCAAACACTCGGTCAGCATTTTACTGGCTGCCAACGGTGTACGTGACAGTAACAACGGTTGATGTGGCAGAGTCCAGACAAACGGAAAGCAGCCTGAGAGCCATTTCTTGAAAAGGAAGCCCCCTGTGGCTCTGAGCCTGTCAGGTGCATGTAGTCCTCTGAGCAGAACTGAGACCGGCATCAGGCAGAACCAACAAGGGATGTGTGGTCCCGCTTTTGGTGACAGTCTGATGGTACCAACAACATTTTAGGTCTCTGGTTGTCTCCAAACACAATTTGTATACATTGTAGTTGATATGTCAGTGATTAAAAAACAAAACAAAACAAAACAAAACAAAACACCTCATTGCTGTTGAGTCAAGATCCGACTCACAGCGACCCCTCCTTAGGTTTCGGAGACGACATCACTACGGAAGTAGACTATCCTATCTTCCTTCCGAGGAGTGGCTGGTGGGTTTGAGCCGCCAGTCTTCTGGTTAGCAGTCAAATGCCTTAGGCACTGTTTAAAGCACACATGTAAATATGGTAAAATTATCTAAAATGTTGTGAGTGAAGACACTTGGAAACCCGGGACAATTTGGCCAATCTTTGAAAATTCTACAAGCATTTCACATAATCAGCTGAGGTCTGATTAGGGACTTTTCACTTGAGGGTCCAAGAGACGCATGAAGACGATTCTGGACTCTGCCTTAGCCTGGGGCTGCATTTGCTGGTCATGGTGGGAAAGCCCTGGGATCTGCAGCCGCCGCCCGACCGTGAGCTCTAGGTTCTGCAGACGAGACTTCTTTATTTCACAGCACCCGGCAGTTTTCACTCCTAACAGCATTTCTCGGTAAGTGCAGCAACTTGCTCTCAACGTTTCTAAGAAAGAATTCCATGTCCTGGAGTCCCCTCAGCAACAAATGACCAGAGGTGTGTGGCTAACTGCTGCCGGTTTGCTGAGAGGAACGTCTACTCCAGGGGGCAACTCGGTTCCACATGAACTGAATGCAGCCTTGTAACATACAGAACCATGCGACTTAACATAGAGGGAAAATAGCCCTACTTCTAGGAATCTAATGTGATAAGGGCCCAAACCCGACTCCCGTTTTACTTACAGGGCTCTTTTAAACCGTATTCTACATTCTGGAACCCAACTCCGGGTAGATATTCAGGGTGGCTCTGGTAATAACAGACCAATTAATACATGAAATAAAACCTTATTCTCAAAACTCCCATAGAAGAGAAAACTTAAGTTTGAACAGCATGTTACTTCAAGAACGTAAGAATTACAAGAAGTTTCCCTTCCATATGGCTATCTGATAAAGCATAACATTAGCTTTAACGATGGTTCCAATTTACAGCCTAACACGATGTAAGCCATTCCCTGGAGAAGGATGTCATGCTTGGTAGGGTGGAGGGTCGATGAAAGAGGAGGAGGCCTTCAACGAGATGGATTGACACGGTGGCTGCGATGATGGGCTCAGGTATAGCAGGGATCGTGGAGCTGGCGCGGGATCGGGCAGTGTTTCGTTTTGCTGTGCATGGGGTCGCTATGAGTCGAAAACGACTCGACGGCACTTAACAACAACAACAACAACGCAAGCAGTCTGCTGAACACCAAGTCCTTTATGACGCCCTTTAGGAAGGAGTGAACCTGCCGGGTTCACTCTTCTCAGTGAGAAGGGTTGTAGGTCGAGATTAAAAATGCAGGAAGTGTTCCTCAGGAGTAAGTCACTTTTCTTGCGAGCATAAACACACACAAGTTCCAACATGTCTTCTATTCGTAGATTGAGTTTATTGATCTATTATCCTATGGTCCAGCCTAAGAGTCTTAGAGATAATGGAAACTAGGCTAAGGTGCACACTTCCAGACACCACCACCACCATGGCTTTCATCTCTGAAAATCATTTAATAAGCTCTGAAACCACAACAATCTTCTCTTAGGCAGCATTTTAATAAAGTGATTTAACCAGTTATTAATCAACACTATTCTTTATTTTCTTATTGGAAACATGCAGCTTAAAGTCTCTAACTAACAAGTTTGAATATAGAGTTTATAAACTTCAAGTTATCTTTTCATTTTATATAGAGGTCTTAATACTGTAGAAACAACAGTTGCTAGATTTTAAGGGAGAGCTAAAAAGTGCAACATTACACAGGGCTGGATCCTTCTCCAGTCTCCTCACTCCATTATCCAGCTACCGCACAGTTTCTTCCTAAGCTGTGGGGCGTCTTCTGGAAGAGGCACTCCTGCTTTCCAAGGAGTCTACGGGGTCAAAGAGAAGAGAGAAATTGACAAGACAGTGTGCACTGATGATGCTAAGCCCAACGCTCTGAATTCCATCCTCGTTATCTAAGCCAGGCTCTACTGCCAATCATATCGGCTCGTTTACCACATACGAGCACCGTATCCCAATAAACTCCCCATCCAGTCATGATTCTTCAGTCATATGTGGCTATGTCACCAAACTCACGTACAGTCAATTTCATTCATTTTAGTGTTCATGTTTCAGGACTGAGTTTTTCCTTTTACATTTGATTTTGTTTGCACATAGATTCCAAAACCAAAAGTATGTAATACCCAGGGAAGTTTTGTTCCCATCCATGTCCCCTCCCTCCTCCTACAACCATCTCATCAGCTTCCATGAAACACTATTGCTAGATCACGGGTCATCAGCGATCAGACAGGGAACCACTCAGACTGTTTGCAGAGAGAAAACCTGACAGTCATCGTGCTAGGGCTGGTCGGTGCCTTGAGTTGCCTACTTGGCTCACTCACTCCATCATGTTCATTTATGGCTGGAGTGTCTGAAGCTCCCCATCCCACCTGGCAGTGAATGTAGGGAGCTACAGTGCATAGGTTCTCCTGTGGAGAATTCACACCGTCATCCAATGCGTGGTTTCCTTGTCATTGATTCCTTGGACTCATGGTTATTTAGACATTGATTTGCAGGTGTGGGGAGTTTCCACTTATCCTTGTATTATTCATCATCTCACCTCTCTTTTTAGGCAAAGATACAGACCTTTGGTATTTGAGACCTTTTGGTATTTGAGGGGCCCTTTGGTATTTGAGACCTTTTGGTATTTGAGAGGTCCGATGGTATTTGAGACTTGCTTTCCAACCCAACATATGGTCAGTTTTGTAAATATTTCAGGTGATGATGTGAAGAGACCGCATCTCGCAGGTGCTGCGTGCACTGTTTTATGTACGTCCAGTAGACCAGGTTGGTTACTGGAGTCTTCTGATCTGCATCACTACTAATTTTCTCATCTGCTTCTTCTGTCCGTTAGAGAGATGTGTTAAAATCTCTCATTGTATCTGTAGATCTGTCCCATTCTCCTGCTAGTTCTGGAAATACCTGTTCTGTGTCTTTTGAAGGAGTGTTATTAGATGCATGTCAAGTTAACATTGTTATTTATTTCTGGGAAATTCTGTATTTCTTCTTTAAGTAGCAATTTTACTTCTTCTCAAGTCTACTTGGTTTGACGTCAGTATAGGACGGTTATTTCTCGTCCCATCCTTTTGTCTTTCGACATCCTCGTTTTAGATGTGTCTGTGGACACACTGTAGTTGCTTTTAAAAAATCCACTCTGACAGTCGTGGTCTTTAGTAGGAGTGTTTAGCTCGTCTATGGCGACATTTAAGGGAAATGATATGCTTGGTTCCTGTCACTTTACTAAGTCCTTTCTCTTTCTCCTGCCTGTGTCCACTGATTCTCCTCTATTATCTACTTCTGCACTGTTTTCAGGACCTCATTCTCCCCAACCCGCCCTGTATCAGCTTGGGAGTTATGTCTTGGTGCGTTTGTAGCGTTCACCCCAGCCACTGACTACAACACGCATCTTCTTCTGATCTTAACTGGCTGACTCGACAGGGTGAACCAGCCTCCCTTCCAGGCATCTGCATTTGGTATGTGCTTGCTGGAGGCTGCCTACCTGACCTGTTCCCAATAAAAACCTTGGGCGCTGGTCTTCACGAGCGTCCCCAGTGCACTGCACATTCTGTGTGACTCTGCAGGAAGCCTGTGCTGGTGTCTTCTGGACTTGACCCAGGCGCTGTCTCCTCGCTGGTGCTGCTCCGTAAGCACCTGTTGCAGTAACTCATGCCCGTGCGCACAACTGCATGCCACGTCCTGGGTCCCTCCTAGTGCATCGCTGAACCTGGAGATGGTCTTGGGGATCTCAATACAGCCCATTTCACCCTCCACCTAAAGGGCAAGGTGCTTAGAACACTGACTGAACTTCCTGCTCTCCTGACTTACAGACCACTGCCATCATTTGAATGCCATCTATGTAAGTACAAAGTAGATGCCGTATGTGCAGAGGCGATTCCGAGGCAGAGTGATCCTATATGACAGAGCAGAACAGCCCCATAGGGTTTCCTAGGCTGTAGTCTTTGAGAGCAGACCACCAGGTCTTTTCTCCACTGGAGCCGCTGGTGGGTTTGAACCTCCAACCTCTGGGTTGGCAGCCGAGCTCTTTCCTCTAACACCACTTCACTTCTTCCTAAAAAACACTTGTTAGTATTTTCTTTAGAGGGCCTCTTCTTACAAAGTAACAAATTATCTTAGTTTTTATTTAAGTGAAAATATTTATTCCACCTTTATTCTTGAATGCTGTTTTCCTGGGTGTAAAACCCCAGGGGTGTAGAATTATTGAATGGCTTCTTGTTTCTACTGAGACTCACATCTGTCCGACTGTTGTCCTTTCAAGATAATGCTTTTCCCTCTAGCTGCTTTATACATTTTCCTTTTTAAAATGCATACACGGCAAAACATACACCAATTCAAGTTTCTACACGTATCATTTAGTGACACTGATTACGTTCTTAGAGTTATGCTCACCCTCCTTTTCTGAGCTGTTCCTCCCCTATTGACCTAAACTCTCTGCCCTGTAAGATTCCTGTCAATCCTTCCGATTGGTACTGTCAAGTTGATCCCGTGTAGACAGTTCTTTGATGGCAGTGGGTTTGGTTTGGGTGGTTCTTCAGAGTGAATCATGGGAGAGATTCTTTACTCATGAAGCTAAATTATTGTTTGGTTTTAAGAAGACTTCAGGAGATGTTTTTGGTTTAAGTTTTAAAGATTATCTCAGGGCAATAGTTTCAGGGATTCATCTGAACTTCATGGCTCCAGGAAGTCTGGAGTCCATGGTAATTGGAAATTCTGTTCTACAGTTCCTCCCTTTAGATCAGAATTCTTTTATGGAATCTTTGATCAAAATGTTCAGTAATGGTAGTTGGGCACCATCCAGTTCTTCCAGTCTCAGCAAAGGAGCCAATTAGCCAACACATTCCACATCCTCCTCCTGTTCCAGATTCTCCTTCTTGCTGTTGTTTCAGGTGAATAGAGAGATCTATTATTGTGCCTTTGATGGCTGCTTGCAAACTTTTAAGACCCTAGGCAGTATGCGAAGCACTAGGAGTAGAACAGAAGCACTGAACACTATCGGCCAAGTATCTGGGATGTTCCATGGACCATGACCCTAAACGTCTAAACCAAGGAGGGAACCAATCCCGTGAGCTGTTTGGTTGCATAGAAGTGGCCGCAACAGCTATTCCTTTTCTTTGTCTTGTTGCAAATATGTCTAGCATACATTTTGTCAATTCAATTTTTTACAGGTGTGCAGCTTACTGCCAGCAATTACGGTCAACAGATTTCCATGCCCTCTTCCCCTTCTCCCGCCCTGGTAAACACTAATCCACTCTGTCGTCTATCTATCTGCCTTGCCTTGTCTTTTTAGGCGAGGTCATTCAGCGTCTGCCCTTTTGTGACCCCAGGCGTAATGTCTTCCCGCTCCATCCACACTGCAGCATGGATCCAGACTCCTTTCTCCCACTGGCGGGGGAGTTGTCCGCTGTCTCTGTGCACCATTTCTTCATCCACTCATCTGCTGAGGGGCCTGTAGGTTGTTTCCACCTTCTGGTTACTGTGCGCAGTGCCGCAGCAGACGTCGGTGCACGGGTCGCCGACCTTCTGCTTTCAAGCCTTTTGGGGCTATCCCTGGGAATGGAACGGCTGGGTCACAGGGTAGCTCTATGATTGGTTTTTTGAAGAACTGCCACTCACTTTTCCCCAACAGCAGTACCATTTTGCATTCCTACCCGGCAACGGATAAGGGTTCCAATTTTAGATTTTCTTTGTAGCTTTCATTTTCAGGCCTTTTTTCTCTGATGTACTGAGGTCTTTGTATTTTTCATGCTTGGGATTGGAAAAAGCTGTATTGAATTTGTGGCCTCATGTTTTTCATCATTTAAAACAATTTGTTCTCCATAGAAAGGTGCTTGAATCACCTAGACAGAACTGAAAACAGAAAGCCACCCACTATTTTGTAAAAAGAAGGATTTTATGTTTGTGTGTGGCAATTTTAAAAATACACACACAAGTTCTTTGATACTCCCCCCTTCAGGAGCCAAAGCCTATGTCTCCCCATCAAGTGTGGGCTGCACACAGTGACTCACATCTGACAAAGAGCGTGAGGCAGAAGGGAAGATGTGTGACTTCTGAGGGGGGCTCACAGGAGGAACGGTCACGGCCCACCTGCTCGAGGGAAGCTGGCTGCCACAGTGCCAACACGCTCAAGCAATGCTACAAAGAGTCCTACATGGCAAGGAGTGGAGGCGTCCTGCCCACAGCCATGGGAGTGGGACATGCCAGAAGCAAACCCGCAGTCTGGCCCTTGGATGATGACAGTGCAGGCCACGCCAGGACAGACCGCAGGCTGAAAGTGCTCAGAGAAGGTACTCGTGGAGCCTGCCCCACAGAGACTGTTAAAGAGCACATATTTGGTATCTAAGCCATGCAGCTGTGCAGTAACTGGTTGTGCATTAACAGTGAACTGCTACAGTGGTTTTTTAAAAATATTATGATGTGTATGTGAAAATAAAATCAATAGCTTAAATATTTTGTTGTTGTTATGTGCCGTCGAGTCGGCCCCGACTCATAGCAACCCCTCCTTGGGTTTCCAAGGCAGTATCACTACGGAAGTAGGATTGCCCAACCTTCCTTCCGAGGAGTGGCTGGTGGGTTTTAAGTAACATTAAAATATGAAAGATTATCATCAGCTTACCTCTCCACTGACCTGCCTCTCTTAGTCCTAAATGGAAGCCGAGCTTTTCAGAACCGATGACGTCATTTCCACGATAGTGTTAACAGACAAGCCATTCAGACGGCCTTCCTGGCGCTGCCTTACTTCCTGAAGGGCACTGATAATCTGGTCTCTATGCAAAAGGAAACAAACCTGAGCATTTGTCCTTTTTGAAGGAACACCTTCGGAGCTGGGTTGGGTTAGTGAAGGGAACTCTCTTTTTTATACAGAAGGTTTAAAACCAGTTACGGTGTAATTTCCGTCATTACCTGCTGACCTCCGGGTGAAGCTCGGCCAGCCTCTGCATGATCTTGGTGAGGCTACGCAGGTTTAGAGGATGTGAAGGAACGGCCTGAGTGAGCGTCTCAGGTAGTAATTTAGCAGACTCAATCTCTTTGCAATTCTTCTTGACACCCTGAGTAAGCATTTTTAAGGTTTTACTAAAATTGATAAATAAGGATTATAACACAGAGATAATAGAGTTTATTCAATTAAAACAAATTTTAAAATTGTAAACAATAAAATAAAAATTCCTCAGAAATCTTCTTTGATTTGGAACTGTTTATACCAAGTATATTTAGTTAATTTTTAAGAAACACACCATGCATGTTTCCCTACAGCAGTGACCAAATGTATGAGGCTCTGTCTAAGGCAAACTTTTCCGGCCAGGATTCCTCATCTGAGCCACAGAACATGGAGCCCTAAGGTTTAATTTTTTTACCACCTGACAGAGAAAGACTAACTGAATGGGAGTTATCAATACTCTACATCTTATTCACAAAATATATCATGGACACAAATGATATGCCCCAAACTGTACCGGATACCGTGAGAAAAACCAGTCATGTAAAAAACTGCCCCCTTCACTTACAGATCTTACAATCCAAAGGAAGACACAAAATAAAAATGATACACTTAATTATTATCTATCAAGCAAGAAAACTTTAAATTGTATGAAATCCTGTAAATCCCCTAAGTTGAATGAAGGGAGGGTTCAGACGTCGGCGCCTGGTGCACAGACATTGCGTCAGAACACGGTGCATTTTCCTTATTTGCCCGCTGCCTTGTCTCCCCGCTGCAGGCTAAGTTCCGTGACGGCAGGCACGGTTCGGTCTCTTGTTCACTGTTGCTTTCCCAGTGCCCACAGTAACGCACAGTTGGCAGGTGGTAACTGTTTGTTGAATGAATAAATGAAAGGTTTAGGGTACAACAGATAAAGTGATAGCTGAAATCACAGAAAAAATGAGATCTCCAAGAGGGGCCAAAGCACTGGTGAGGGGCCATGGCAATACCAGCTACTTGTTGTCGTTGTGTGTGCCCTTGAGTCGGACCCAACTCACAGCGACCCTCCTTGGGTTTTCAAGGCAGTAGCACTATGGAAGTAGACTGCCCCATCTTCCTTCCGAGGAGTGGCTGGTGGGTTTAGCCAGCCTTCTGGTTAGCAGTCAGGTGCCTTAGGCACTATGCTACCAGGGGTACTTTCTCTACAACAGGCACAGAATGAACAAACGTTGAGAGTCTGAGAAAAAGATAACAAGGAATTTCTGCAGAGGTATGAGAACTTGGAGGATAGTTTATAGAGCCTCTTACCCACACACTCCCACCCACAGCCCAAGGTGCCCTGTTCATACTATATACCCATCCCTCAGCCACTCCATGGCCCACTGCGTCCACTGACTGGACCAAGAGTGTTACCACCTGAATTAATGACAAAATCACAGCCTAGATTCGCCAGATTCCCACTCTAAAGAATGAGGAAGAACACGGAGCAAATGAGTCATCAGATGATGACACGCTTCAACGGTGCAGTCAGAATGGGAGCCAAGGCCAAACGAACGCCACGTTGAATGAGGGGAGGAAGGGTCCCCCGTGGACAGGGAGAAGCAGACTCACGGAGCAGGGACGGGGATGAGAGAGGACCCAGCAGCAGGGCTGAGGGGAGGGCTGCAGTTCCCGGCCTCCAGCTCGGGGCCCACGCAGCCCAGTTAGACTCTGCTCTGTCCTTTCTTCCTGTGGATTTAGGAGTATGACACAAACCCATGAGGTGTCACCGAGTGGAAAGGAAATGCAATGGAACGCAACCTCTGCCATCGAGTTGGACCCGACTCAGCAATTGGGTTTCCGAGGCAGTGTCACTACGGAAGGAGATTGCCCAACCTGCCTTCTGAGGAGTGGCTGCTGGGTTTGAGCCGCCAGCCTTCTGGTTAGCAGTCAAGTGTCTTAGGCACTATGCCACCAGAGCTCCTAAGATGAAAGGAGAAGAGTTTTTTTAAAAAGGGATGATGTTGTTATTGTTAGGTGCCACCGAGTGGGTTCCTCCTCGCAGGACACAGTGTGCAACAGAGCAAAGCACCGCCCGCCCCACCCTCAGCCAATGCTGTGCTGGAGCCTGCTGCTGCAGCCACTGTGACGGTCCAGCTCATCAAGGGGCCTCCTCCCTTTTGCCGGCCTCCACTTTACCGAGCATGACGTCCTGCAGGGGCTGGTGCCTCCTGAGAACACGTCCAGAGGATGTGAGACACAGTCTCTTGCTTATAAGGAGCATTCTGGCTGCACTGCGTCCAGGACAGGATCGGTTGTTCTCTGGCAGTCCATGGTACGTTCAATGTTCTTCACCATCACCACAATTCAAACGCATCCATTCTTCGGTCTTCCTTACTCATTGTTCAGCTTTTGCATGCATATGAGGTGACTAAAAATATCATAGCTTGGGACAGGTGCACCTTAGTCCTCAAAGTGACATCTTTGCTTAACATACTAGAGAGGTCTGTTGCAGTGGATTTGCCCAATGTGGTATGTCATTCAATTTCTTGACTGGTACTTCCAAGAGCACTGATTGTGGATCCAAGCAAAATGAAATCCTTGACAACTCCAGTCTTTTCTCCATTTATCATGCTGCTGCTTATTGGTCCAGTTGTGACCATTTTTGTTTTATATTAAGGTGTAATCCACACTGAAGGCTGGCGTCTGTGATCTTCATCAGTAAGCGCCCTAAGTCCTCTCTCCTTTCAGCAAAGCAAGCTGCTTACAGTGGGTTGTTATTGAGTCTTCCCCCAATCCTGAGGCCACGCTCTTCTTCATATAGTACAGCTTCTTGGATTCTTTGCTCAGCTTACAGATTGAATAAGGAAGGGGAGAGGATACAACCCTGAGAGAAACCTTTGCTAATTTTAAACCATGCAGTGTCCCCTTCTTCTGTTTGAACAACTGCCTATTTATTGGTCTATGTACATGTTCCTCATGAGCACAATTAAGTGTGCTGGAGTTCCCATTCTTTACAATGGTATCCATAGTTTATTGGAACCCACACAGTTGACTGCTTTTGCATAGTCAATAAAACACAGGTAAGTATCTTTCTGATAATCTTTACTTTTAGCCAAGATCCATCTGATGTCAACAATGATATCCCTAGTTCCATGTCCTCTTCCAAATTCAGCTTGAATTTCTGGCAGTGCCCTGTCAACGGGTTGCTGAAACCATTTCTGAATTATCTTCAGCAAAGAAAAAGGTAGATGAGGGGCATTTTCTAACAAAAGGTCACTTGTGACAATGGACAGATCTGTCCTGGAAGAAGGCCAACTGCAATGCTCTCAGAAGAGAGAATGGCCAGACTGTCTCACCTACTTTGGCCATGTTATTGGGAAGGACCAGTCCCCGGAGAAGGACATCCTGCTGGGTAAAGCAGAGGGTCAGTGAAGAAGGGGAAGGGCCTCCCAAGTGGACCGACACGGGCTGCGACATGGGCTCAAGCACACGGCGATTGTGAGGATGGGGCAGGACCGGGCAGGGTTTCGTTCTGTTGTACACGGTCCTGTGAGTCACTCGATGGCCCCGAACAACAACATGACAATGGAAAGGATCCCTGGTGACACAACTATTAAGCACTTGGCTGATAACTGAATGGTCTGGGATTTGAACGTACCAGCAGCTCTGTAGGAGAAGAAATCTAGCAATCTGCTCCCAAAAGATCACAATCTAGGAAACCCTATGAGGCCATTCTACTCTGTCCTATAGGGTTGTTACGAGTTGGAATCAACTCAATGGAATGAAGCCAAGTAGAATCAAAGTTCAGCCCGCATCTTGTCTGTTACATGTTACCTCCATTGGAATCTGATAAGTAGACATGATAACTCAGTTCCTTAAGAACCGAAATGAATTGAAGGTCAATTCATACATCCTCACCATGTTATCCCCCTAGAAACAGGTGAATAGGTATGTTAACGTGTTTCCTCAAAGTTCTGTTTCAGGAAACAAGTTGGAAATCAACATTGGCCCGTGGACATGCACAGTGAGACAAACTGGAACAAAATTGCTGGGAACTAACATTTTCCCCTGTGCCCAAGCCCCAATCAGGTGATGACAGGAAGCTGATATGATTCACCCGGTATGTGAGCACACTGCATTAAAAATTGACTGTCTCTTTAAACCGAGGCCAAGGAAGCCATAGCCAATCCTCAGTTAATTCATGCCCAAATTCCTGAAGTTTTTATGAATATGTATTAAGCCCCCTCTCCTGAAGTTTACAAAACTGTATCCTGACCTCCATTTGGGGAGTCAGATTTGGGTACTGGCCACCGTCTCCTCACATTGCCGCTCAGCAATAAATAATTTCCTCTCCTCTTAATTGCTCGGTGTGTAAACCCTTTTGGCCTGATAGCGCACCGGGCAGGAACCCACATTTGGTCTCGCTTTGTTGTTGTTGTTGTTATTTGCCATCGAGTCGGCCCCGACTCATAGCGACCCCTCCTTGGGTTTCCGAGGCAGTATCATTACGGAAGTAGGAATGCCCAACCTTCCTTCCGGGGAGTGGCTGGTGGGTTTGAACTGCCAGCCTTCTGGTTAGCAGTCAAGTGCCTTAGGCACTATGCTACCAGAGCTCCCTGGTCTTGCTTTAGGACCCCATAATAAGTGACAATAGAAACAGTATGTTAAGGAAAATCTTAGAGACTGACATCAGATTATTAGGACAAAGGAGAGAATCAATCAGGGAAATTAAAACAATGGATATAAACTACTTGTTCCAGAAGCCTGGCAACGAAAACATAAGCCCAAGTGAGGACGATAACATCAAAGGAAAACAAAGCCAGGCATTTCATAAACACAGGAATGAACAAGGCAAAGGTCATCAATTCCCATGGGTGTTTATGAGCCCAATGAGGTGGATATATTAAAATAAAAGGATTGCATTACATGGTTTTCAAACAATTATGGGCGAAGTTAACTAAAACCAGGAATGATGGCTACATAATGACTACGTAAAGTGTAGGAAAGAGTAGTACTGTCCCAGAAACCAGTGACAAATGAAAAGACTGCAAAGCACTGGCAAAAAGCCTCATTAAAACTGATGACTTCATGGTTAGCAAGGTCCACAAAGACCTTCAGTCCCCATCCCCCCAGCAACCAGAGCTGAACAAAAGCAGGTCAGGGCAGATCCAAGGGCAAGAATGTTCCAGAATCAATGCTCCCGGTTCTACTTCAAGATCGTCAAAACTGGAGTTTTTGAACATACAAGCTTCTTGTAACAATATGACACACACAAAGCCACCTACAGCATCAGTCAAGAAAACTCACCTTCTGATCGAAAGGAAAAAACTCACTGTCTGGCTTGGACCCCAGGTGCCGTGGCCTAGTTCTGGGCAACTGAGAAATGCAGGAGACCGAGTTGATCTCTTTGTTGGTGCTTCTTTCCACGTTATTCACACTCATTCTGCTTCCATTTTTTGAGGCAAGTGGTGATGTATATTCTCCAGGAGTCTTCACAAGCCGCACTTTGACCGATTTCCCACCGATCTCCATCCCGTTCATTTCTGTCACAGCCCTCTTCGCATCACTGTTTTTTTTAAAAGCAAGTGATGCGTATCTAAAATACCGAAGCAGAAAACCAAAGCTCTTTGTTAATGACTTCAAATTGCCTCAAATTTCGTTTTGTAACTACTGGCTAAAATACACTTTCATAAGAACTGCTCTTAGAAATAAAAAAGCGACTCTACTTACTTTGAGACTAGGAAGACTATTTATTTAGGATAATAAAATAAAACACAAATTAAAGATGGTAAATAAAAGATAGTAAAGTTTACTCGTTCTTTCTTATGAATTATCTGTTAACTTTATATTGAAACTTGTATTTTAGAAAACTCAAAACAATTCCTAAACCAATTATTAGAAATGTTTCCAGATATTAGACAAATATAAATTACTATAGTCAACTCCATTTCTACTCGTCACTAAAGAGTGGAAAACATAATTCTCAAAAAGATACCCTTTAAAATAACAGAAATATAAGGTAAGTAAGGACTCAAACTAACAGAAGACACGGCAGGAGGTGTCTGCACACAGCCCACCTTAAAGAAGGAAGGGTGATGAGGCTTTCACGAGAAGACTGAGTTCTCTGAACAGTGTCACACACAAAAGCACAAAACATTTAATTAGAAAAAAGTAAATGCAAGAAAGCAACAGAAAAGAAGAAACCAGAAATGCTAAATCAACATAAGCACTACTTCTGCACCACAAAGGCGATAAACCATTAAAAACCAAATCAAAGGGAAATAAGGTATAGTGGGAAATGACACAATTCACTCAAATTCGCAAAGAAAAGGAGGCAGTAATCAAAGACACCAGAAAAACCGACACTTTTCTGGAAAACCATGTAAGGATTTCCAGTTTTGAAGTTTATTGTCACAGAGGCATGCTAAGTAGTAAGTCTTCAAGACTGTTAATATAGACAGAGTTAGAAACCCTAAACCGAATTGTAGCTGTGTACTTGAGAAAGTTGGGCGAGAGCAAGCTACTCATGCAAAAGCAGAAGCAGCTCAAGACAGTGTCACTCACTGGACAGATTTGAAGTGTGCCCGTTTTGGAATGACGAGACTACAGATATGTCTTTATAACTTCCTTGCATTTAAACTAAGGAGCTCTGCTGGTGCAGTGCCTAAGGCATTTGACTACTAACCAGAAGGTTGGTGAGTCAAACCCACCAGGTGCTTGCAGACAGGGTGATCTATATCCATAAAGATCTGTCCCCTTAGGAACTAAACAGACATAAAACGAACACCGTGTTGTGAGCACCTATGAGCCAGCAGGCTTTGTCCTTAGTGTTTCACCCATGCTGTCTCCTAATAGCTCCACAACAGTGCTATGAAGGCATTGGAAGTATCCTCACTTTACAGACCAAGAGCCTGAGGCACACACAGCTTAAGTAACTGCCCTGGTTCATTCAGCTGGTGCCCATCCTCTTAACTAACACACTCAACTGGCCTACAGAATGATAGGAGACAGATTAAATACGTCAGAACCCCTCTCCTGTATGCCCTCAGTAACAAGCTACAAAGTACAAGCAAAGAAAGATCTGATCAAGAAAGTCCCAGGAAGGACCGCAGTTCTCTGTTGCTGCGTCTCCCTCGCCTCGGCTGGGGTCTCCACGTGGCTCTGTGTGGCCCCTGCAGCCGACGTCTTGTCCAGAACACTGGCATGCGGCACTGTAAGCCCATTTCCTGAATTTAGGAAACACACCTGTAGTTAGTAGAGGAGCCATAAATGGAAATTTCAGACACTTGGTATTTCTGGAAAAGAGACTTTAAATCGTCCTGAAAAACAGAAATAAAAAGGGTAGAAAACACAACAAATAAGGAAAACAAGCAACAGACTTGAAAATGAAGCCCCATAAACAAATGCTGGCCTACCTCAGACACCGAAGGGCAGAGACCCCCAACGTGGATCAAATACCCTTTATCTCTTCGTAAGGACTCAGCATTCTTCATCCCTGCACACAGAGAAGCACAATACACAACAGGAGGTGACAAAACGGGAATGCGGTTTCTAAGATGAACACGAAATGTGTTAAACAGTTCACGTTTTTTTCTTATTATAACAAAGCTTAATGTAAGTTTATCAGAGAGTGTCAACAATAGACTGAAGACCACAAGCCTGGGCTTTGTATCATCTTAAAAGGAAAAAGGCTGGATTTGTTGACAGTTATTTTTGACCCCAAAATGGATCGATAACTTCAAAACTAAGAAAAGTGTCTCATCCTGGTCTTGGCTTAGAGATATGTAATCTAGAATGTTGGATGCGTACAGGAACCCTGCACTAATGCTGGCCAGAGCTAGCTGTGTGAGCACACTATCTGTGTCCCTCCACTGGGAAGACCTGTAAATCTGACAAACAGTAACAACAGGTACCCAGCCTGACCACTACAGCTGACGGTAATGGCACACAAGGCAAAAACGGGGTAGGGGCAAATCGTTCAGACAGTGCTACAGCTTGGAAAAGTAGCTCTGGTGGCACAGTTGTTAACACACGGTTGCTAACTGAAAGGCTGGGCCTGCCCCCCCCCATCAGCTGCTCTACAGGAGAAAGACGTGGCAATCTGCTTCCATAAAGACTGACAGCCTGGGAAACCCGATAAGCAGTTGTACCCTGACATACAGGGTCACTGAGTCAGAATCAACTCGATGGCAGTGGGTTTATGAGTTATAAAACCGGTCCTTGGTGGTGTAAGTGGTTTGTGCTTGACTCCTAACCTATGGAGCCCAGGGGTGAAATGGTTAAATGCACAGCTGCTAACCGAAAGGTCAATGGCCTGAAACCTGCAGCCACTCTGCAGAGAAAGACAAGGCAGTTGGCTTCCATAAAGATCGACAGCCTTGGAGACCCTGTGGGCAGTTCCACTCTGTCCTCTAGGGGTGCTGTGGGTCAGAATGGACTCCAGGGCAGTTGGTGTGGTTGGGGCTTTGCTTCTGTAAAGATTATAGCCTGGGAGACCCTGTGGTGCAGATCCACTTTGTCCTCTAGGGGCACTGTGGGTCGGAATCGACTCCATAGCAGTAGGTGTGGTTTGGGCTTTGCGTCTGTGAAGATTGACAGCCTTGGCCCTGTGGGGCAGTTCCACTCTGTCCTCTAGGGGCGCTGTGGGTCAGAATGGACTCCAGGGCAGTTGGTGTGGTTGGGGCTTTGCTTCTGTAAAGATTATAGCCTGGGAGACCCTGTGGTGCAGTTCCACTCTGTCCTCTAGGGGCGCTGTGGGTCGGAATCGACTCCATAGCAGTAGGTGTGGTTTGGGCTTTGCTTCTGTGAAGATTGACAGCCTTGGAGACCCTGTGGGCAGTTCCACTCTGTCCTCTAGGGGCGCTGTGGGTCAGAATGGACTCCAGGGCAGTGGGTGTGGTTTGGGCTTTGCTTCTGTGAAGATTGACAGCCTTGGAGACCCTGTGGGCAGTTCCACTCTGTCCTCTAGGGGCGCTGTGGGTCAGAATGGACTCCACGGCAATGGGTGTGGTTTGGGCTTTGCTCCCATCAAGACTGACAGCCTTGGAGACCCTATTGAGCAGTTCTACTTGGTCCTCTATAGGATCACAATGAGTTGGAATTGACTCAGCAGCACATAACAACATAGTATGGAAACCATAAATGCTAGGATTATTGTCGTTGTTGTTATGTGCTGTCAAGTCGGACCCGACTCATAGCGACCCCTCCTTGGGTTTCTGAGGCAGTACCACTACAGAAGTAGATTGCCCCATCTTCCTTCCGAGGAGTGGCTGGTGGGTATGAACCACCAGCCTTCTGGTTAGCAGTCAAGTGCCTCAGGCACTTGCTACCAGAGCTCAAATCTTTTCTTGTTGGATTTTAAAAAATCACAATTCTTAGCATTTTCATGGTCTCTATAACCAGCCACTCCTTGGAAGGAAGGTTGGGCAATCCTACTTCCGTAGTGATACTGCCTCGGAAACCCAAGGAGGGGTCGCTATGAGTCGGGGCTGACTCGACGGCACATAACAACAATAACAACATACTGAAATAGAGGAGCTCTGGTAGCATAGTGCCTAAGGCATCCTCGGAAGGAAGACTGGGCAATCTACCTCTATAGAGATATTGTTTTGGAAACCCAAAGAGGGATCGTTATGAGTCAGGATTGACTCCATGGTGGTGAATTTGGCTTTTGGTATACTGAAGTAGAGAACTTGGTCAAAAATCAAAAAGAATTTACTGAGTTGTGAGTCTCGTAGAACATACTGTCAGTGCCTGCTCCCGGCACACAGGAGGCACTCAATGCTAGCTGAATTCTGGGAGCAGCTTTTGTGTTTTTAAGTTTTTATATAATAATGGGGAATTTGTACATTTTGTTTTCTCATTAGACAACAATAACAGCCTAGCCATTTACTGAGGGCTCCCCACGCTCCACCCTCATGCCATCCTCACAATGACAACTCATTGCACAGATGAGGATCTGAGGTCTAGGAGTTGAAGCCCCAGCCAGCAAGTGGCAGTGCTTGGAATGCTGGCAGTCTTGGCATCCATTTGAATGGTTTATGTGTATTACATACGTGTGTGCTGACATGGATCAAAGAGTAGTCACTAAAATATTAGTAGTAGCTATGCAGGGTGGAGATACTTCTGGTGATTTTAATTTTCTTATACTTTTATATTTGGTTTTAAAATTGTAATAAGCATTATTTACAAAGCTAAAGGAGGGGAGAAACAGTAAAACCATTGCTACCACAAACATCTTAAAAATCCACGTAAGTCTATGGGAAAAATTAAAGGACAGTAGCCAGTGCCAGTGTCGTTAGAAATGACAGAGGACACTCCCGGTCACAGATTCCAGAGTAAACCCCAAGACTCTCAGAAGCAACTGCATTCCTGAAATGGACATTACAGAAAGCAGACACTTCTCACCCCTGTCAGGATGACGGATGGAGACAGGGCGGCCTGTCCTGTTCACCATGTGCATTTCCACAGGCCTGGCGATGCCAGGACAGGAGGCTCAAGGCACAGCATCCTGCAGAAACCCCAGTGCTGGCAGAGAGGAGGGCACGCTGGCCCTCCACCTGCCAAACCAAATCCCAGGGTTAAGCTTTAGCAGACCGTTTTCTGAGAAGTTTCAAGTGACTGACACTCTAAAAATATAACTTTCATGGCTCGTTTTCTTATTTTCATAAAGAAAAGCCACAAATAGACATAAAATATCAAAACGGCTCAGCCTCCCACCTCCGAATAACAAAGACGATAAGCATGATCTGACAAATAAGCTGGACAATGATTTCTCAGTGAGTGTGAAGAACCGACCTGGCGTCAGCTTTGTACTGCAGCGGTCGTGCTCTGCCTGGCTCGCCCGTATTCCAGAGACATCGACTCCTGTAAGGTTCTCTTTAGCATCAAACCAGTCTTCGCTCATTTCTTGGTAATCTTTGCAGTCTAAGAAAGGGGAAACAATTAGCTGTGAATCATGTACACTGTTAGCCTGCTGACAAGTTACCTCAAATACGGATGAATCACTATGACAACCTGAAAATAAAGATCGCAAAGTGGAGCACCGAGCCCCAAGATTCTCTGAGAGGAGACTTGGCTACAGGCCCTGAATAGAAAGTGCTTTCCGGACTGAGTGACTGGCTTCCCTGCTTTCCTCTAACATTGACTCCGGCTTCAGGAAAGCCTCCTGCTCTGCTTTGGAAGTCATACCTTTCTGAAGAGATTTGTATTATCTTTACACAAAATGACAGTGAACATCTTCAAGTGATTAAGTAGTACTGCAACTCTTCATTTCTTTAAAAGTTGTAATAAAAATCTTTTTGGAATGAACATAATTTTTCAGAGAAGACAGAACAATGTAAATACAGATAATTTAGAGAGATACAAATTACACACAAGAAAAAGTTTTCAGTTTGGAAAATACAAGCCAGAAGAACAAAAGTCTGTGTGACTACTCAGCAGGGTCCGACCTGCTGTGGTAACCTCAGAGGAGTCAGCTGCACTTAGCATTCAGTCAGAGTGATGCAGTCCGTCACTGGCAACATTGTTTGATCTAATCAATGAGCACTACAAGTATTTTTAATCTCATTGTTTGCTGTCTCCAATTCTGTAATATTCCACTTCTATACTGACCTTGATCATCAAGTCTCAGCTGACTAAAGCCTTCATTTATATCACCATTATCCGAACCACCGTTCTTAGGTGATGCATCTTGTTTAGGGTGACGATGATCAGATAAAGACATCTGAGGATCAAAATAAGAAAACAATGAATAATAACGAACACACTGTGCCCTCGCTCTGTGCTAGGCACTCTTCACGGCATTATTCGGCCACTTCAGAGACGAGTAACATGCCGCCTCCCACACGCAGCTGACGAGAGGGAGGATTTTGCACCCAGGCACTCTGCCCAGGGCCACAGTGTGGCTCACACACCACAAGTACACACGATGGTCTGAGGTATACATGTCAGTGTTCTTCACGAGGACACACCAGAACCAAACCACTGTGACCGAGTCAATTCCAGCTCATAGCGACTCTACAGACAGAGCGGTACCACCCCAAAGGGTCCCAAGGTTGCAATCGTCCCAGAAGCAGACTGCTTTATCTTTCTCCTATGGAGCAGCTGGTGAATTCGAACTGCTGGCCTTTTAGTTAGCAGTTGAGTGCTTAACCACTGAGCAATACAACAGTTATATATTTCATTTAACGTGTACGTATGTGTACTATATCATTAATATCACATGCAAGTAAATTTTGCTGACGATAATTCAAAAACGGTTGCAGCAGTCCATCAACAGGGAACTGCCAGAAATTCAAGCTGGATTCAGAAGAGGATGGAATCAGGGAGATCACTCCTGATGTCGGATGGATCTTGGCTGAAAGCAAAGAATACCAGAAAGATGTTTACCTATGTTGTATTGACTGTGCAAAGGCATCCAACTCTGTGGGTCGTAACAAATTATGAGTAACATTACTGCAGTGAATTGCTTGATGTGGCCCTTCTAGCCATTGTCCTCCATTCTGTGATGTTTTGTAAATCTCATTATCCATGCCTATTTGGGGTGGTGTGGTAGTTAAGGTCAGGTATCAACTTGGCTGGGCAGCTGGTAGTAG